GCATGTGTCCTTCGCAAGTCTCTGGCTTCCGTTGCCCTCAATCCTAAGTGCCTCGCCAGAAACGAAGCTCCTCCCAGTCGATGTTCGAGGGCCGTAGGCGCCGCAGGACGTTGGAGTCTTTGCTCTCATCACCTGAGCAAGCACAGCAACCTGATTCGCTCAGCCCGAATCAGCCCGAAGCCTAAAAGCCACACCAGACAAAAGGTGGCAGCGCAGAAGGCATTTGGGAGAAGGCGCAGGACCTACGCATGCTATGGACACAGCTTGGTCTCACACAATGCCGCAAAGTTAAACTACGCACAGCTGGATCCATCTTGGCACATCCTTTTAGAGGCTCTGTCAAGTTGCAGGGACATCTTCAGCTTCGGAATCCTTGGCGAACTGCAAAGAATGATGACTGCTGCCACATGCCAGTCAAGTGAAGGGTCCATCATGATCTAACTGAATAAAAGGAGGCCTGGCACAGGCTCTGACGCCTGTGGTAATAACTTTCGCTTCATCTTGCGTTGTGGCGCAGCTTTGTGCCGCCAAAGCTTCATCTTCATCGCCACAAGCACAAACGGAACCCATGGCTTCCTTTGAACCCGAAGACGAAAGTGAAGGCAGCCAAATGGCTTGCCGACAACACCTACAAAACCACAAGAAGGCACTGTGGCGCAACATCTGATGGCGAAGCTGCTAAGTTTTTTGTGCTACATGTTGCCTAAGTATGTCGTGCCGTGAAAGCCTGGACTTGCATCCGTAATGGAAGCTGGAGCCGCAAAGCGGTACAAGATGATAACGGCATGGCACCATGGCACAGAGTTGGTGATGTCTTGAAAAGCTCCTTTGCCAGGACTCGGGTGACTTTGTTGTTGGGCAGTACTGGCCTTACGTTGAGGAATTGGGGCAAAACAATACAAAAACTGAGGAAAGGTTTCATTTGGTTGCTGCGTGCCGGTGGGTCCATCAACTCCGAAAAGCAATGAATACAAAGCAATGAATGTTGGGCGTAACATCACACCTTGTGAAATCATGGGAACGCGCTCGCCACGACCGGCGGCCGATAGATGATGGGATGGTCGGGCATTGAACCCTGCATCATAACCTCGCAGCATATTGCATTACAGAAGCGTTAGTGACCGGTACATACATAGCAATATCAATACGCAGGAGCAAAACAACTACTAACGGAAGCGGTGATTTCGGTTGAAAACGAGTAGTGGCAATTGCGAGCGCCATTCTATCGACATGATGAGAACTCCAACCGCGTCAAAACAGAACACACCGAAAGCGAAACACACCGAAAGCGAGGAGCTGAAGCCACTGAGGCCGTTGTACATTTGGCATCGTTGTGAAATTGCCAAGCCTTGTGGGGGACGTCTTTGATTTTTGATCCAAACAGAGCCAAAGTTGCTCTGCGCGGTGCCGAACTTCCTCCTCTCCCCTACTTTGACTTCACCTTGGAAGCCTTTTGGTTCAGCCAGGATTGTCCTGGAAACTTTCAATCGTGCGTTGCTTAGATTTCTTCCTTTCGAGCTTCGGTCCTGCACGAGCGACGATTGAAATGAACCATCCATTAACAACGCTCCGACGTGCTGTTCACGCGCGACTTTGCAAGGATGAAGCAGGAGGCACAATAGTTTTACGTGGCAGGCGCAGCACTTTGAGGCTTTGCGACATTGGTAAAGTGTGGCATGTCGACGCACCGAAACCATCAGATTTCTGACTAGAAATGCACTGCGGCTTAGGTTTTGGACACATCCAGGTGGTTAAGTAGAGCTGTTTACGGAGCAATCTGTTTCGCACATGTTTTGGCTGCGAAGCACTCACAGTTTGACCCAGTCCTTGTCTTTTGCAGGGTTGAGAAAGTCTTCGGGGCCATGGCCCAGCTCATGCACACGGTCCTTTCTGTACAGAGAACACTTTGAGCACGGTCCAGTAGCCAGGCTCTCGTCGAAGACGTTGTGTGGCCAACACAACACTGTCGATCATCTTCGGCGAAGTTCGGCCCAAGAGGTTCTGCTTTCTCATGATCCTCTTGACCGCGGAGAATTGCGATTCCGCTTTGTTGTCGCCGCCAATGACCGTCGCAGTGCGTGCCGTCACCAAGGCAGATGACTGCTCGCGGACGCTCAACTGCTTCACAAGCCATTTTTTTGGATGCTCTGCGGCATTGGATATGGTCTGATCTGGGCGTTATCATGGTTGGCACATGGATGCTCTGCGGCAATGGATATGGTCTGATCTGGGCGTTATCATGGTTGGCACATGGATGCTCTGCGGCATTGGATATGGTCTGAACTGGATGTTATCATGGTTGGCACATGGATGCTCTGCGGCAATTGATATGGTCTGATCTGGACGTTGTCATGGTTGGCACATGGATGCTCTGCGGCAATGGATATGGTCTGATCTGGACGTTATCATGGTTGGCACATGGATACACGCAGGCGCAAAATTTGATTAGACCTTCGTTGAGTATCCGACTCTTCTCGCACACACACACACACACACACTTGCAAATGGAGAGTGTGCATTGCGGAAGTTGCGTTTGCCACGCTGTAGTGCAACCCAAGATTCTCCATGTGTATAACGATGAACTTGCGCTCGATGACCTTCGTGATAAGGTTCGCGAAGGATCGGTGGGGCATGATTCGGAAGCACGCCGCACTCTGCAATCTTCACTTGAGCAAGATCTCGTCGGATACAATAGGAGGATACGGAAGAGTCCTATTTTGCGAGCCCAGAATGCGCCTTTGCCCGCCACTTGTGACAATTGTGGCCATCAGCACGTCACCGCTCAATTTTGAGTCGGCCGCCCCCAGCAATCACATAAGGGAAGCAAAGTTCGAGGACATAGCCTTCCAAGCAATCACCGCGCCACAAATCCGACGAGCAGAAAAGCTCCTCCCACCTCGCTCAGCTTCCGCTGCCTCCCTCTCCCTGCGCACACATTCCGCCAGCGCCGCTTCCTTGGCATGCGATCTCGGGGATGTCATTGCTTCGCAAAGATGCGCAGCAAGAGCCAACCTTGCAAACAAGCAGCGTACATCCGCACTCGCCTCAAACGGGCGCGGGACGCATGTGCTGCTACTTGCGCAAGCGCTCTTCTAAGCACACAATGCGCAAATCAAAGAACCTCACCTGGCGTCGACGAGACCGCGCAATCTCGCTGCATCAACGCGACCCTCTCAACCAGCCTGAACTGGGAGGTGTCCGCCTTCAAAACCTGGAACAGGACCTACACGCAAAACAGCACTTTGTTGGTTCACGAGCAGAGCAACACGTGGAGTGCACGGCGAGCAAGGCGCCATAGTCCGGTTTTCTCGGAGCCAACACGACACGACGGAGGCGGGCTGAATCCCAGCATGCGGCTTTGCCAACGGCCTCTACACGTGCCACTTGGTGGGGAGGAAGGCGCCCGAAACCCCTTGTAAGAAACGCATGGTCCTCGTGAAACTGCTGGTGATCTCCACATGCTCCCCTGCTATGCGTCGACCAATCACTGAGGCGGCTTGCCCACATCATCCCAGCTTGGATTGCTTGCGCACTCGGCGCTCTCACTGGCCTTGCAGGCCATGAATTCTCGGCTTCGCTTCACTGTCGTTGATGAACCGACTGTGTCCATCTTGAGCCCCATGTCGGGATCGTTCGCTATACCTGCCTCTGCCGCTGATGTTTGTCGGCTGAAATTCTCCTGTGTAGGACAGTGTAGGAGCGCCCCTCCGCATGAAGCGTCGCCTGCAAAAGATTATCAGCAGTCTTGTAGTTGTACTTTGCCTTCAGGTTCAGCAGCCTTCAACGCTGCGCAACACCCACAAGCGCCTCAGAAAATCTCCGCGCAACAGACTTGCTGAGAAAGCAATCCTTTTACCGCAGCCACGGCGCTGCAAGGCCGTCCGAACACGAGCTTCAGCCATTGGCACGCTCGTGGATCGAATTGTCTGCAACCCGCTGGAAATGAAAACAAGCTTGCAAGACGAGCATGTGAACCACAGCAACCCTCATGTGCTCCAGAGACCCCATTACACCCACCAAACAACACGGCATTAGCCGTAATAAGGCAGCAGGGGTACGTTGCTACGGTTACGCACACGGCCGTGGCCGGCCGTGACCTGCTTGTCAAGAAAGACTGCAGAGCACTGCAGAGTCAAGGTGGGGAAAAGGTTGTGATGACCTCAAACTTCCCTGTGCCAGCTGGAGGCTGGGCGATTGATGGCAACTCAGTAATTACAGCGTTAAGCTCGACTCATGCAATGCAATGGCCGTCCCGCTGGAAGAGAGCCGGGATGAGCCAAATATTGCACAAGGCCACAGGCATCGGCAGCGGTGAGACGTGGATACCTCCCGCAGAAAGCAAGGTCAACAGAGTGCGCCTACAACGCACAAGTCACTTCTTTTACACACTTCTTTGAGCCTTGCAGTCGGTCACAAGTTGTTCTTTGCAAATGCTGGCAAGCAGACGGAAAGCGGGGTTCTGGGTTCTAGAAAAGATTGAAACCGCCCTCAGACGCTTGCCTTCCAAAGGCGAGCATCTGCCACAAACTTCTGGCTGGAGCCATTGCCACTTCTTTAAAGTGGCCGACGTTGTACGTCATTGCGGTTCTCCAAAACAAAAGCACAACACACGTACTCGCTACTAGACTGCAGGGTAACTGCTGGGACCCATAGTTTTGGGTCAAAAGAATACTGCATGTCAACAGCTTCTGAACTGCATTGCAACATGCATCACCAAATGCGCGAACCTATCTACACAAAGGTTCAAAAGCGACTTCGGGAAAACTGTCAAGTATCTTGGTGCAAAGCTTTGTACAAGCAACCTACGTGTTCGACTCAGGACCACACTGCTTACACGGCTTGAGACCTGCTGCTTCTGTCTGACGCCGGCTAAGCTGAAGAAGCTTGTGAGGTTCAACACGACGTGCTCGATTCACCATGCCGCAAAACTGCCTGCGGTAACAGACTCCACTGCCGATGCGCCATACCGTGATGACGCCAGCTGCGTAATACTTGCCGGTTCACCCGCCTGTGTTGTTGGGCCCGTTGTTGGGTTGTCCCCTGACGTAGCGGGGCCCGCACTTGCCAACGCAGTTGCCGCAGAAGCCGAAGAGGACGTAGCGCCACCAACCGTTGAACTTGTAGACGAAGAAGCAGCGCCACTGGGAACCACAACCGTTTGAGAGCTTGCACCTTCCACGAATGTGAACTCTTCTAGTTGTCCATCTCCTTCATGTTGAACATGCCCTTGTCCATCGATCTCGATTGTGATGGTGTACTTCAACGCGTCCGCCTGGAAGAAGAAGAAGAAGAGGAGCAGGAACACGAAGATGCGGAAGCACGTGTTCTCCTTGTACACGTACACCTTGCTGAGGGAGAAGACGAAGTAGACAAAGATCACAACCATGATGAGCACCATCATTGCCATCAAGAAATCCATGAACAGGTAACCGATGGGCTCCATGTGGTTCGCACTGTCAAGCTTAGCACCATCCACAGAATCCGTCAACAACATTGCCATGGTGAGACGAGCCTTTCCGCTCCTACCCTTCAGACCTCTCTTCAAGCCAGTCTGAATCAAGTAAGCGTTTGTTTACAAACCCTAGCAAACCAAGCAGAAACTGTTGTCTCCTAGGTGGGTGAGCCTTCGTGCCGATGTCATGTGGACACGCGTTGGTAGTGATCACCCTCTCAATCACATGTCCGAGTTGATACTCGCAAGTTGGCCAGATCAATGTGGCGCAACCTGCCACATCCTTGCTTTGCGATCACTGCTCTGGCTCCTGAGTTATCTGTTCTATGGATGACCGTGACCTTGGAAACCGTCACCTCTTCAAGTAGCGCTTTCACGAACAAAGCATCAGCACACCCTGCCAAGTATGCCATATACTCAGCTTCGCAGCTGGAGAGAGCCAATGTTTGTTGGAGTTTCGTGGACACAAATACACAGTCCCCGTTCAAGTACAACGAATAACAGCTCACACTCTTTCTTGAGAAATGCGACGAGGCCCAATCAGCATCCGTGATCAAGCGACCTTGCTTAAAGCTAGGTTCTGAACTCCCAACTGTCCAGTCCTCGTCTTCCCAAGCATCCATATTGTGTACTCGTTCTTCAAAGGTGGTGCCTGGGCTGGTGCGCGACAGCTTCAGCACATAATTCTCACGGCCCTTCAGGTACTTCCCGACATGCCGCATGAGCATGAGGTCATATTCAGAGGGACTTGATCATTGAACACCTAGACCCAAGCATGTGCACCGCAAAGTGTATCTCGGGGTAGTCCGAGCACATGTACAGCAACAACCCTAAGCCACTGCGATATACAGCATAATCGTCACCTTCAAGTACAGGATCTCTTTCAGGTCGCTTCAACGACGATGGCAACGGTGTTGGCTTTGGGGCTGCTCTCTCAAACTTTGGGTTTGACACAATTTTGTAACATACTTCTCTTCAGGAACAACCAAAATGCCCGAACCATCACCCATGAACAACCGCTTCAAGACGCGGCATTCTCCTCCATCAATGCGTACCGGACCTTCCACTTTGACCCTCAGGCCACTCTTCTTCAAGCTATCCAACAGCTCCTGCGCAGGGGAGTTGCCACCGCACAAATGAAGGTCATCAACATGACTGTTGCACGGAATCTTCCCTTTCTCATGGAACACTGCAGGAGCACCCTCAAAAGGCTTCAAACGATTGCCCTTAACAATTTCCTTGAAGTGCAAATACCACCCTCGCGCAGCATCTCTCTGACCCGGTAGACTATACAGGAGCTCAAGGTACTCGCCGTCATTCGATACAATACATGTTGGGCAACTTTGTGGAACTTGCAAATAAGCGTCACTCACATCCACACTGTAAAGTACCAGATTTTCACCGCTTCCACACAACCCAGCAAAGACACGCTGAAGAACTGCCATGGAAGCTGCTGCATACAAATGTTCGAGTTCAGGTGCCAAGAAGCGGTATTCCTTGGCAACGAGCCTGGACCTTCTAATCCAGCAGTTTCCACGGAAGCGCCAATCTGAACAAATCGCGATTGAAGCTTCTTCATGCCCTCTGGTGCATGCCCCCCTTGCTGACTATCCCCAAGCTTGCGAACCACTCCAATCGCCAACAAGCGCTTGACTTCCAACTGATCCATAGCTGCATCGAGGCGGCTAAGGCACTCTGGAGTGAGCTCGGGAGGCACATCTTCATATCGACGGTGCGCCCATTCCTTGGCTGCTTGTTTGGCTTCGAGGTTTGGGTCTTCATCCTCATCCTTCTGCGCATCGCTCTCGAAACTCAGGTCCATTTCAGTTTGTGGGATCTCCTCTGGCTCATGCCCGCTCGGCTGATCTTCTCGAACCCTTCGGACAAAGCCTTCAAAGACCTCACTGCCATCTACTCTATGTGCTGAGGCTTGACTCATCTCCGCATCTGCCACAAGCTTTGAAGAACTAGACGAATCAGTAGACATGGACCCGCTCAATCCGTCACTCCCAGCAGCATCTCCTTGGTTTGAAGCTGACGAAGGAGGATCACTTGCAGCTTCATCGGGTCCAGGGCCCGCTGCAGGAGCCGAGGGTTCCATAGGTTCAATCAACGCGGGTGCTCGAATCCTTGGGGCCTTTGACCTCTTTGTTGGCAAAACATCCAATGTTGCATTCCAGGGAACTCCCTTGGCACTGGCAATCAGCTCACTCTCGAAACCTAAGGCACCCTTGCGCATCGTTCTGGCATAGTGCCGCCTGAGCTGTCAGCCACAAAGTTCAAAATTCCCAGCGTCGACTTTCCCAGAAAAACGGATCTCTTCCAACCGCTACCTTTAGCAGCTGACTGCGGGAGGTGCTGAGCAAACACCGAAGATCCAAAAGCGCAAAGCTTCCCAGCATAAGGCCGACTGCGCACAAGCTCAAACGCAGTCATGCCTCACGCCTTTTGAGGATAGAGTCCCATCATGAACTCGACCACTTTTCCAGCCAAATCCTGAGACGCTTGTACCTTAGAGTCATTGGTGTGGCTGGAAGCAGTACTGTTCCTAGCGCCGGATAACATCATAGCGAGCTCATCAAGATCAATAACATCTTCACGAAGCTCTGCAAAGAATGAGTGGCAGAAGACAACCTCAGCCATGCTGCGAAAACCTGCGAAAAACGTGGGTCTCCCTTCAAGCAATGTGACGAATCCAGTAGGAGTTCCAACCTTGATACAGCACAGCTGCAGCGGAATGGCATGTGTCGGGCAATGATCGATTTGCTTCTTGACCGTCCACTCCGTTTTTCTCACCCATCTGCTTAGGTTCATTCCAGCAACCGATCTTGAATCCATAAAATTTGGATTCTGTACGAATTCCACTGGAAGCAAAGGCCCAAAGACTCTGGTATGAGTTCCGCTGCTCCCTGCAGAAGTTCCGGCTGTAGCAGGTGCAGGTGGGGAGCCTCTTATTTGCGGGGTAGACGGAACAGCCATAACCTGAGCAGTCCTCGGGTTAGGCTCCCAAGACATGCGCTGTGGCTGCACAATCATCGGTCGCGTCGTACACTGCCAGCTTGCCGACGGAGCAGGTGGTGCGAATTGCTAAGTGATTTCCAGTCCTGCTAACACAAGAACCCCGGATGGGCCGGCAAAGTTCGCCGAAAACGACGGGTTTTCATGGGGGGCTCCAGTCGTACACAACTTTCAAGATACATGTCGGGGCCGCACTGCGGGACCCAAGCTTGTGGAAGGCAATGTATTGTCGCTAATGAGGGCATGATTGTCGAGTGCACATGCCCTCATGAGAATGTGCAGTCATCACTCAAAAAAACATGCAGATTGCGGCATCTATGCAAAAGCAAGAAAAAACTGGACCTTAACCACACAAACCTGGTTTCTATCGAAAACGAAACTAGTTGCACACCAGCTGTGTACGCAGACACCCAGGCCGTGCCGATACCAGCGTAACACAAACACACAACCTGAATAAGGGGCGAGTACGACACCACGAGTCGGAAGTGTACAGGGCCGAGTCTGAGAATGGACAGGCCCGCATCGGACCAAAACGAGCCCAAAGAACGAACACGCCGAGTCAAAAGGGATGGGGGGGACGATTGTATCAAAGGTCGCGAAACAGACGACTTTGCTATTTCTACGGATCTACGACTACGAGAAGATGGAAAGATGGCATGCTAGACTTCTGTACTGCAATTCCAAACGGAAATAGGAAAACCATCTACTGTACTGCCTTCAAAGACTGTATGAGAATGACGAACTGGAAGGGACACCCCAGCAGTTTGAAATAGAACTCTTGAACAATACCCTGTAATGCTGAGAGGATTGTACCTTGGCGCGTGCGAAAATTATATAGATATATCTGCAACTTGATATACCGGTTGTGTGTATGGAGTGCACGGGACCGGGCTCAACCGAGGGATACGGTCGTCTCACGAAGGTCAAGTGGTGAATAGAGGGTCACAGGCAGCGTGCCCGCTTGGGGTTTCCTTCAGGTGTGAGGCATGGTTGGGAATGAGAAAGAGAAGCAGAAAGATAACTTGATGTTCATGCACAATCATGCACACACGACAATCAATCTCACTCTGTGGCCCTGGATTGCATCCTACCAGTAGCACTCTTATGCTCCAGCATCACGCATGACGCATGATCAGACTCAGGGTGCTGGCAGACTGGCAAAGACCCTCGTTGTCCCTTTTGTTGCAGTACAGTTCGCACTTAGCCGAAGCGGCGTCTGATTGCAGCCGGCAGTGTCAACTTCGATGCCCATGCTGGAGACTCCTGACAAACTAGTGGCCCTGCGCCTGGTGAGACCGTGACCGGGCTCACTCCGCCGGCAGCTGGAACAGGAGCATGAGGACAGGAACCACCAGAGCCTCTAAGCGCTTCGGTCGCCGACCGAGGGCTAATGCATGTTCTAGCAGGAATGATCGTGCCTGTAGCCATGGCATGCCCGATGCAGCGTTGGGCTGCCCTGATCGCATTTTGCAACTCGTCGAGGCCCTTGCGCATAGCAGTGTCTTCACATTGGAAATCGCCGAAAGACAGCAAGCCCGGTTGACGCCGGATGATAAGCCAGCGACGGGTCGCCCTCGCACATGCCTTCGGCGTTGCACAGGCACGCCTGGTTTCGCCCCGGACGTGGCACAAGGCACTTCCAAACCAGCAGGAAAGCTAGGATTCTAGGATCCACACGAAAGGATAGTCCTTCAGCATACACACGCCAGAGGGCGGAGGCTGCGACTCTTCGAACCAAGTCCTCATCTGACATCCCGGTGGTGCCCATGGCCAAGTCCATGGCCTCACTGCGTGGAGAGGAGCCCTTCCCTTTGATACGAGCTCAGCGGCCTAGTGGGAGTTAGGTTCGACGTGTACCTGATTTGAGTGCGACCTGTTTAACAGGCAGCAATGAATCAATGAAGTGCAGCAACTCCACGTCTTCAAGGCACCAGCCCGGTACGCAAGGTCCGCCGCATTGATTGGAATTCCTTCTGCCTCCATACAGATTTCTGGCTCAAACCCTGAAAGTTTTGCCTTCGTCATGCACATCTGACTGATTCTGCCTGTCATGTTTTGCTCTTCTTAGATTCTTCAATGTGGCATACATAAAATCATTCATACATACAGACATACATCCACACATGCGTCCAGCCGGACATCCAGAAATGGATGCATGCAAATTACTGTACACATACATATACATAAACACATACATGTACATATACACATATACACATGT